TCCTTTCATCCGGTGTAATTATGATCAATCGTATGTAAAATGTTTCTTGTACTCTTCTTCTTATGTTTTGTGGATTACTGCATTGTGTTTAACTGTTGGGCTAAATTTCCTTGCTGTGTCTAATTTCCAGTATGTTCGTTGAAATAGTTTGTGATGAAAAACTGATGTATTGCTCGGACTTTAGTTCTGAAATTATATATTTGGAAGCAATGAGTTCTCACAAGACTTATCGTGTTAGATCGAGTATTTTGAAACTCGAATCGGCTGAACAGGTCGACTATATCTGAATTTGGTCTCAGTGGGGTCATCTGGACGAGGCAATAGGCGAACCGGCCTAATTCGGAGTGACCTGGTCGACTTGGGCATTTACCAAGCTGATCCGAACAATTTTTTTTGTCTTTCGTTAAAATGGACTAGTCGGACCGCCGGCTCGGCTGGGCCGGGCGGTCGGGCGCTGATCGGGCTGACCGGGCTTGGGATATTTTTAGAAAAATCCCTTAGCAGTCTAAATTCGTCCGGGTCAAGCATCTAAGTCAAGCATATAAAATAATTATTTTTGAGCACAATACTTAACATATTTTTTTTACTTATACGTTTATGTAGCCTAAGGAGAGTCGAGCCTCCGACCACTACCTCAGTTCGAGCACTTGCATCAGTCTAGATATTTTCAGTTACCAGGTGGGAGCCTTTACAGGGCATTACGTTGCGCATTTTCAGTTATCCTGTATAAGGTACGTGAGTAAGTAAGTTACACGGACGGTTGAATCATCCCGTTTGTGGTTCAATTAAGTTTCTCCCAGGTGAGAAGTCGACCTAAGGGCCTTCCTATTCTGCCTGGTACCCGCAGATCGGGTTGTGCACATCGAGCGGCCGACCTAAGGGCCGAGGGTCTTTGACCACAAGAAAAGAAAAGAAAGATTAAGTTCAACTCGTATATATTGAAGTTCATGATATGTTATTATAGATGTTGTTTAATTCAGTGTTGGCCAGAGCAAGGGTCATGTACTGGGTTTTACACCGTCCATAATTATTGTACCATGACTGAGGTATGTTCAAGATATTAAGTTTCTCCTAGGTGAGAGGCCGATCTAAGGGCCTTCTTATTCCGCCTGGTACCCGGTAAGGGGCCGACGTAAGGGCCTTCAGTCTTATCGGGTGATGTGCACACGAGCGGATGAAGTAAGGACCTATACGGGTCTTTGAGACCACAGTATAAGTATTAAGAAAAGTGTTCCATTTTAGCCAAACTTATTTATTTATTTTATGCTGCTTTTAAGTTTATGTTTACAGTTAAGATTATTACAGTTCCAGATTTTCCACGAGCATGTAGATGTGCTCACACTCCCACAGTCTTTCTTATTTCAGGTGTCGGAGTGCAGCGTGCCGGGTGATTAGACGTGGCATTCGTGGTCATGTGCAGAGGATATTGTTACACGCATTTTATGTCTTAAGTTCATGAACATGTATTTATAAGTATGCGTGCGTTACGTATGTTTTCAGTTTAAAGCTTCCGCTAGACTAAGTAGTGTGAGATTATCGGATTGTATGTATGTTTCACTATCGCCGTAATGGCACGATAGGTTGTATGTTTTATTCATGTCCGAAATAGTAAGTTAAGTAAGTTTTAGTAGCATCCCGCAATTAAGTATTTTCGAAAATAAACTCGCACGACATTTCGAAAATAAAAGCGAAAAATTTACTCTGGTTTTTCAAAAGTCAAAGCTAGTCAAGGAACACATTTAAAACAAAGATTTAAGATGTGTGACAAAGATTTATTTTTTTATTTAAATACTAATTTTTTATTATTATTATTATTATTATTTTAATTATTTAACTATTACTTTGACCATTGGCCGTTGATTGCTGATTCTAGTGTTGATTGTTGACTTTCGGCGTTGACCCGTTGACCTTAGTATACATTATGTATGAAATAAACATGCGTTCAACGTTATGCACTTAATATAGACTAAATATGTATTTGGTATGAGTTACATATGCAATCCTTATGAACTAAATAAGTACTAATAGTATCAAGCAAGTATGCATTGTTTATGAACTAAATATGTATTACGTATGAACAAAATATGCATCATGAATGAAATAAATATGAACATGTATATGTTTAAAGAATGGAACGAGATTTGAAGCGATTATGTCGAGAGGACGTTAACCTGATGTGAAGGGATGTCAAATTGACGTGACAAGTTGTCATGAATTTGAATTTCGAAATTTGAATTTAAAGACCTTATACTTAGGTCGAATGAGTTGTGTTGATTACTGATTAGACAAGAAGAGAAGTGAACTGGTAGGTCGACCTAACAAGACGTGAACTTAGACATGTCCACGGGTCGAACCGGCCCGCCGAACCGGCCCGGACCCGGACCGAACCCGGCCCGGAGAAGCCAGTTTTCAAACCGGAACCGGACATCTAAAGGGCCGGTCCCGGGCCTTTTCGGTCAAAAAAAAACCCGGCGGGCCGGGCCCCGGTCCGGGCCGGGCCGACCGTTGGACCCGGAGGGTCGGGCCGGGTTACGGGTTCAAGACTCAGAATTCAAAAAAAATAAAAATTTAACAGGGCCGACCGTTGGACCCGGCGGGCCGGGCCGGGTTCCGGGTTCAACGGTCGAAATTCAAAAAAAAAAAAAAAAAAAAA